CTCGGTACCAACGCCTTTTTGTATGAGCTGGACATCGTCTCTGTTTTTTACTTAGCAAGAAAACATTCCCTTTCAATCTCCTCGAAATTAAGTGGTGCGCTCACGGCAGAAAGTTCAGTAGTAGCCGTCCAGCCTTCGAGTCCCCCAGCCCTTCCCTGCGATACGGAAAAGGCACATTTAATTTGCCTTCAGCATAAGCTGTTGTTGTTGACGAGTTTATCCACAAAAGTACACCGCCGATGGCACAGGGCATCGAGCAGGGCACCGCTGCGTGCATCAGTAGAGACAAATCACTCCACATCTAATTTTACAGGAAAGAATGCTGTGATCGTCTTAACTGGGGCTTGAGAAGTTGAGGTGTAAAAGGAAAGTGTTTTTTGTGAATTTAAGAAGTCTCTGCGCAAAGACAGCCTTTCTAATGGAGGCTAATTTAACTTCATTAAATCTTTTTGACGCTCAACTCTTTGGTGGGAAGACCACAGGTTAGCGAAGAGTTTTTAATTGGTCCTTCATTTTGCTAATTTGTATCCATTTCGACTGCCTCGTCTCAGGCAGAGCACACGAAGGCCAACCGTAAACTCTTAGTTTAAATGATTGGATAGTCTACGATCAGACTGTCAGTTTGTAGACAAAGACTCGAACAATTCTGCCCCACTTACACGTCGGTCGTGCCAATTCCCAGAAGCGCGAGAATAGGAACCCTCATTTGGTCATGGAGACGAAAGAGGCTCCTGGTTTCGCATTCTGAGGCCACATTGAGCACTTCCTTTAGCACTGAGACTCCAATTGACCACCAACTTTATTCCTGTCATCGCCATCAGCGTCCACTTCCGTGTGTTACCACCTCCCTTAAACTACCAAAAATCCTATTTGTATTGTGACCTTCAGTTCTGTCCTTTGAGATTAGAAGAATGCATCTCAAAGTCCAGGAGGATAGTTTGCATACAAAACAAGATGTTTTGAGGCTGGCAACTCTTCCGGAAGTATCAAATTCCTTTTCCCGATCCATCGAACTCCAGACTGTTTCAGGTGGTGCTCCAAAAGGAAGTGTACAACTTCAGCCATTTTAGCTGTTTATTCGCAAGCTACTAGCTTTTTTGAAGTTTTTTTGTAATAAAGAGTTGCTACAATATTCTCGATCAAATTGTCATGAAGTGACACGTCTTGAGAGCGATAAAATTGGCTTTCGTCTGTCTGATTCAAAGGCAGTCCAAATGCTTTTCTCCATTTACGAGTTAATTCAAAACAACTACCTCAGTGCAGACATTTGACTTCATTTCTTCCGTGTACGGGCGGACAGAGAGCGCTCCCAAAGGAAAAGCAAAATCGGTTGCCAGCTTAACCCCAATCCGTGACATGTCGAAACGCCTTTCGCTTTCGCTTCCTTTTCGCACCGTTATTTTTTTTAAACCATCGAGGCCTTCCCAACAAGCGGCTGTTAATCTTGCCTAAAAGCAAATGGCGGCACTGAACATTTTCTTCCCCAAAAAATTATTTCTTTATTTACAGCGAACGCATAACATTGTGATTTGTGGACATGAAATGAAAAGCGTGGAGAATCGTGTTTTGATGCATCAGAGACGGGCGGCATCACCAGCGTGAAGTCGACCGGACAAGTGACGCCGACACGGGCTGGCATTTAAGCAGGGAAAAAGGTTTGTCTCAACTCCTCCTGCATTACTTTCAAGTCCCAAACGCTCTAAAGTTTGGAATATGACTGTCAGAGAGATGTACCCGTTGAAGGTGTGCTCTCTCGGATTCTACTACCGACGGGACTGCTTTCTGTCCTTGCTAAATTTTGTATCAGTGGGTGTTGATTGCATTTCTGCACAAAAAAATACATGGCGTCAGTATGGGTGTAGGAGGGTTGTTTTTTGTTAAAACAAATCCGGCATTCCAGTTGCCTTCTTAAGGCATGGCAAGACGTGCTGTTGTAAGAATAAAAACAAGGCAGCCCAAATGGCACTATACGAGATTAATTAGGGTGAGGGCATTCAGGCTACCTAAAGTGGCCTTGAAGTAAAACACACAGGAGGTTGTCATTTTAAATAGACGCCACCATGTTCTAACAGCTGGCCTCAGATTTCACCGTGGCTCCGCCTCCGCGCTCCTCACCGGATCAATTGCTGATCCAGTGACTTTGTGCTATGCATTTTCTCCCACCGACTCACATTCGACCTCAGTAATGATGAGGTATCAAAAATAAATCCATCCCATGTGTGGAAGGATTGTTGAGCTCTATATTCAAGCACTTACGGTCTCCAAATTCATTGAAATCGTCTTTACTGCCTTGATCCGAGGGAGGGTTCCGCACTATCACTGACACCTCGACTTACAATGCCCGAGGGTACGCTTTCTTAAACAGAGGAGAAAATTAGTAAAGACAACATGGATGACACCTTTCCATTGTGAAGAGGTGCAACATTTTTATTGTGTACTTCTTAGCCTTCACGCTGAAATGCTGCTTTTAGACGGTATAAGTCAGTTAGACTTCATTTTTTCATGTAACCATTGTCTTTGATGATGAGCCGCTTAGCGGCTCCACCACTGCAACTACATTGGAGAGCCCGCATCAACAGTCCCTCAAACCCTTTCGTCTACTGACAATACGCTCTTTGTTTCGATATCATTTCTTCTAGCATAGCTAAGGTAACCTCGAGACTTTGCAACGATTCTTCTAGATATGTTAGCACAATAGAAAAGGAAAGGAGGCAAGCGATGTTCGGTTGCTTTGTGAGTATTGTGCTGTTTATTAATGCTACTGCTTAGACTTCAAGTTTTTAAGTAATAAATTTCGGCACAGGTATAATTTAATAGTAGTGGGTTAAATTTGCAGTTGATATTTGGTTGGTAAACGATTCCATTGCTGTTATCGCCGGGACAAAACCATAGCAAACAGCAAATTTCGTCGATGTCTGAATTGGGTGTTGCGCAATAGTGCAGTCTCGTCTTCGAAGTCACTAAGCTGATAAGTAGTAAAATAGTACCTGGGTTAACTTAGGGTAAAAAGAAACGCAGTTCCGTCAAAGTGGAGTTATAAGAGATTTTTCTTTTTGGTTCAAGCAATCTTAAATTTTACCGAATGTCTGAGTTGACTTATTAGGTTTAAAAAATGAATCATTTATTTTATGCCGTTACACCACCGAATTGAGTTTTCGGCATATCAAGTGGGCTTAGACACCAAAAAACATTCAATTTGCTATGTGGCACAGTATTTTGAAGCATTAGCTTATGTGCTGTAGAGAGTGGAGGAGGTACTCGGAAAATACCCTATGCGCTTGTCATAAGCATCGATTTTGAAATTGTTACTTATATTTGTCAGTAGAAAGATTTAAAAGGCATGAGCTTAATATACAGGGAATTTAATTCTCTGCGCCATTTAATGTCGCCACATTCGGATTCAATGTTAAATAAATACCTTCCTTCAATCATTTAGCAAGTTACTTGCTGAAAACCTTAACCTTACGGATAATTGTTGATACAGCCTTGTTAGTGTGCCAAAATAATGCCACCAAAATCCTCCCTACTGGTTGGGTTAAAATCTAATCTTAGCACTAATTAATCTCGTCCGAAAAGTAAGTTTACCATTGTACCCAAATAGACCGATAAATTTTAACTTAGCATCTTGTATTAGAATCATAGTATGCGTGCTGGAATGTCCTTCTGTGATGGCCATGCCAAGTAGATATGAAGATAAACTCCCTAATAATTTGCAAAATCTTCTGTCCCTTTTGATAAAATCAGATGCAAATGAATTACTAACTACATTTTTCCGTAATTGCGGAACAGTTTTTTTCTCTAAAAGGCTAAATATGCCGCGTAATTATGAGTTTACCCTAACGGGGACAGTTGGAATGAGGGCTACGCACTTACCAAGTACCACTTATTACACTACTGGGCAATTCCTTACTCTAAGTGTGCTAAATCCATCAACACTGAGCAGCGATTTCTTTTCGAAAATTCATAAGAGAAACATCGGCTTCCTCTAAGGCCATTTGAACTGAATACTATCCCAAGTAGAACTTTTGGGAGCATAAATTTGTATTTTATGCTACATTTTGCCTCCCAGTCGTAAACTAAGCAAGTTGGCAGTGAGTTTGTGCCATCATCGCGGCTTCAAAAGCAGCAGCTCTTTTCGTTTTGGGTGTTGATTGGGTCAAAATGAACCCTCGGCAGAGCATCCATGCAAAGTAGGAGAATGAGGAGCCCCAAGCAACACTAAGAATGCCATTTGTTAAGACCGTAATGGCAAGACTCATCGCTCTCTCCTTTGAGCTTCAATTTTCCACTTTTTGAGGTCAAGACTTTCAATTACGAAATTTGCATTCAATTCCCACCACCAGTACAAGTGGGGCAACTTTACCGAGTTAAAAGAAAAAAACTCTTACACCCTCTTATCCCATTGGAAAGGACACTTCAAAGATGTCCGGCGGCGACTTTGAATACTTTGCTTTAGGTGTGTTAATGGGGAGGGAGGTCAATTTTTCTGCTGGATGCATCAACTTTATGGCTTCTAGCACAGAGACGCACAAATTTAATTGTAAAATTAAACTTACAGGTCAGTTTTGTGGACTGCCGTTTGCCATTAAAATCATTGGCCCTGGATTTGTTTATGCATTCACTTACTTACAAGAAACTCTGTTACGAGTGTTACGGTGTTTTCCCACCCGCCGTTTGCACTGCAGTTTGGCCATCCGACCGAACTGTAAGTCAGGAAGCAGAAGATGACCAGAGACAGCAACATCATTTGCACTTTCTGCAAGTCCTTTCCCCAATCCTCACAGCTTCCTTCAATGTGCGCCTTTAATTTCCCACTGCTGCGACTTTGGGCTTGTCGGCATTTAAGCTCTCCAATCGCTTGGACGAGGTGATTGTGCCCACAACGTCAAATGCAGTGAAAATTTCATACGGTCTACAAATACGAACTCCTCACCACGGGAACCACTGACATGCAGTCAACTTTTAAAACGTCATGGCAGCAGCAAGTCGGAACAGGAAAGATGCCAACTATGGAGGGACTTGGTGGGACAGGACCGGACATTCGTAGTGGTCTGCTGGCTGCAGACTTTGGCGATGGCACCGGACCTGTTGGCCTCTTGATGGAGTGCGCGAAGGCTACTGAGAGGCAAGCAAATCTCATCATTTTGCAAAAGTCTGCATTCGATTCCATCGCACATTTGAGGAGTCAACGTGAACATCAGTGACACTCCCTTCCTTCATACTGCTAGCCATCCGCATTTCTGCATTCACTTCATTAACAATTCAAATGAGGGGCGACTGTCTCACTTCCTCTCTCCGAAAACCAGGCTCATCCACCCCACCCAAAGTGCCAACATGCAGGAATTGGAACGAAATGTACTTGCATAACGATCAAGGTGGAAGAGTGTCATGTCAATGACAAACACGTGCCTCTCGTAAACCTCAGTTTAATCTCCCCATCTTAATGTTCACCCACCCACAGCGATGATCGCACCAACGTGGAGGTCACAAAACCGTTTGCGTGGAGGTGCAGCGGTGATGCAGGCTAGGGATGAAGACGAGTTTTTTTAGCGGGTGGAAGAAAATTTTGGTGACAAAAAGTTCCGAGTAAAGCCATGAACAGGTGGAAGAAAGCATCATCCGCGCAACCTGTTTCGGTGTTCGCCTTGAACAAACCGAGGCAAGGGAGCACGAATTAATCCAGTTGAAGTGGTTTAGATGAAGAAAGCGTACGGAACCAAAACTTTCCATACTCCAAGAGATCCAGCAAAGGCTAATTCACTTGGTTTTCGCTTTTCTACGGAATTGCAGTAAAGTCCCTTTTCGTGTCACATTCTTTGTTGGCGTGGCGGAGCCCACATATGTGGAGGCGCGTAAATTTTGTCATCAGTTTGACACTTCCCTCCATTCCACTGTCACTTCGATACCACTTAGCATCTCTCATCGGGACCTCCATTTGACCGTCACATGGAAGATGGAATGACTGCAGAGCCTTTAATGCCACGTTTTTGTCGCTCAAGCTGCTGCTGTGGAAGTAGTGCTGCGCAGAATTGGAGAGAAGTCAACATCTTTAAGTGGTTATAAACTCGGTTACCATTAGGAGGTGCGCTCATTCCAGGATCACTTCAACATCTGCTACGACTGTTGCTCAAGCCCACCTTGAAGGTGCCTCCAAAGCATGTCTTGGGGTGCAGACTTACGGCCACGGGTGCAAACACATCGCGGCTGTCTGTTCCATTTGCGAAACGGAGATTGACAGGTGCCTGATGGCAGATAACACCGGACTGGTGACCAAATATAACGCCCACAACTAACCTCTCTCCTTGGCAGATTAGAAAACAGCAAAGAAGCCTGATTTGAGACGTTGAAAATTCGGTGACTGTCTTCCATTCTTCGCTTACGTACCAATTTTATAGTTCTGAGAACTGTGACGACCTCCACCAACCATTTACAAATGTTTTACCTACACACTTGTAAGAATCGACCGTCGCGAATTTTAAATGACAAAAATACAGAAGACTAACGCAACAGAGGACCATAGAGACTTCAGTTTAATGCATTTTTAATTGCGTATCCTCCTCTGTGCCCCATCACCTCCAATTTGTCTCGAACGCTTCATTTGAGAGCTGTAGTAGTGTGTTGCCCTTCTTCTTCTCTCGCCGCGCCCGACGACATGCCGTCGACTTGGAAGCTCAAGCGACTCCAACTGAGCATTCGCAGAGCAAAATTTTTTTTGGCTAAGCGAGTGCATGTGACGGTGAGATTGTTCCTGCGGTCAGATGGAGGAGGTTTACGTTTTCCCACATTCCTGGACGTTGGACATCGTCTCCAACCTAACGACGACTGGCTACCTACTGGCAATTCTTTTTCCCTTTGAACAGGAGGAGTGTCAGTGAATGATTGCACAATACACAACCATTTTTGCCCATCCTGGTAAGACTGGTTTCACCGAATTCTCATCTTATCACATCTGCACATCACTATCGACGAATTTCAATTAAAAGTGGATGCAAGCCATACTGCGGAAGTGTGCCTCAATTTCACGGTCTTCTGATGCAGTGATAGAGCTCGTTGGAGGTCATTCCTGGCGGCTTGGAGTAGAATGCATCAACAAACTCACGGGGGTGAGGAGCAAAGAATGACAAAAAATTAGGAGCCAAGGAAGATTCAGTACTTCACATCATTTAGGGCACAAATCCTGCCATGCTTCTACATTCTTGCTGTCTTAACGAAAAAGGTGTTTACTGTGAGTAGCTGTTGTCGTCGGCTGTCACCCGACAGTTGCAGACAGAAAAGTGATACTTAGCATGCATGGCATTTCAGGTGTGAATCCTTCTCCTCCATCTACTTCAATGTTCTCTCCTTCACTTTCCTTTCCTTTCTTCCAATGTCTATTTAGTCTCACGTCTGTAATTTTGAGTGCATCAGTCAAGCAAATCTCGATTTTTGCGTTTGCACTGCTGGAGTTGTGGAGCTCTCATGTCAGTCATACTCGTCTTTAATGGAAGGTGCTTCGCCAAAAGGTTTTGCCAAGTATTGCCTCAAAAGTGGATTCTGCTGTCACCGGTGCTGGCATGATCGCCGAGGAGGGAGAGTTGCATAGCGTTTGTGAGAGCGGTCCCTTCATCCTCCTCCGTTTGGAATGCATGCCAACCAGTGTCTTGAGGCGTGCAAGAGTGAGTGGCGATGCCATATTTGGCTCCCCTAATCACGCCGACGTGCTGTCTAGGTGGCACTGTTCATTCCAATAAGCTACTTTTGGCTACCTTTAGGGAACCATTAGCGCTGTACAAACCTCCGAGACCAGCATAACTTCTACCCAAAACACTGCACCGCCACCCCATCCCCCGTGTCTGTGCGTGTGTGTGGGTGTGAGGGCCTGCTTTTGGGTGTGTAATAAGTTTCAGACTGTAAATGTCACCGCCTAAACTAACTTACAATTGGTTACCCTCAAAAAGATTAAACATTTCTAAACGCCAACTAGCACTCACAGCTGTTCGTTCTTGGGGAGGGAGAGGAGAAGGCACGAGTTGGGAGACACTGCCTTGCTCCCACCTTCTACACACTTGTGCTATTACTAGACACCGTGTTTATCACTTCTTCTTCCCAATATCTTCGTCCAACATGAATATGCTTTACCACAAAAGGAAAGTGGATTAATAGGTTAGTACCTTTCCTTACAAACATGGTGCGAAAAGGGCCTCCTCCAGGTCCTTGCAGGTGAAAGTGGTCTACTTTACTAGCACAAAGGCTTCGAAGTTGGAGCTGTACATCTGTCACGACATGCAATCCCTTGGCACTGTCTGCAGCTACCAAAGACGACGATGAAGGGCGGCAGAAGCTCATAGAGTGAAGTGGGGGGAATGACTGAAGCCGACTCAAATGCTGGTACGCGACGCCAAATCCACTGAACCGAGCTTTCACGGAAACCTCAATGATGGCGCTGGGATGACTATCAGTTAGGTTGGACTGTAGAGAAGGAACGGTGGCTGACGCAAACTTGCTGTGTCTTGCAACTCACAGAAAGCATTCCATAGACATGCATGGCTTAACTTAAAGCAACTTCTACGCCATGCAATCCATTAGTGCTTAACATACAACACTTTTTTCCACCAGTTTCCCATTTGGCCTCTGTGTCTGGCAGTTACTAGTGCGCGTCCTCGCCTATGCAGTCGACCACTTAGTTTAATGAATTGAGTGAAAGGAGTCCTTTTAATTAGGTCCGAAATCTTCGACTGTTCATGTGTCCGTGACGCATCTCGGACGCATTTGCAGTATGCCAGTTACTGGTCGATTAAAGTGGTCGTAAAGCAGAATGATGTCCCAAATTATTGGGCTAACATAGCCTGGGCTTGGAGGTTAAGCTTCACCAGGTTGCACCACAATGTCCCTAGGCGACTGACTGATGGGCAGCATCGAGCGCATCGAGGGTTGAGCACAAACTGAGCCTCAAACTGCCACTGGCGGAGGAAGTTACGATTGCAGTTAAAGCATTTGTATGCTTCACTACGTCTCCACTCCTCCGCGCAGGTTGCAGTTAAGTGTCCAGACTAATGGGATTGGCTCTGCACAATTTTAGGACGCATGTACTGTCCGCGGACCGTTGCTCCCAGCAAAGTTGCCTGCTCAGTGTTGTAAAAAGTAGCCACAGATCTTAAACCCTCTTTGAAGAAAAGCTGTTGTCCATTTGCCCTTTCCAAAAGTGGCTTCATACTAATCTTGCTAATAAGTCCATTAACTGCTGTCAAAATAGCTCTCATCTCCCTCTTGTGTGCATTTATAGCTTACTCTAATCGTTTTGACTTCATTATAAGGCGGTGGGAAATAATCTGCACTAACCAGACCATGTTTAAAAAGAAGGCACTTTAGCACGAATTCTCCCCTTTGATGTAGCGGATAAATTGACGTGGTCAACAGCTGCCTACAATGGCGGTCGATGCAGTTCATTCTGTTTCGCAATGGCCATTTGATTACCTTCGACTTCCCATGTTGTCGCATTTTATTGGGGCGCGAATGAAGTGGGGAAAGTTCATTGTGTCCCCACACTGCGCGACAGGGCGGTTGGCCAGCATGGAACCTCGCGTTGGCGTGCATTGAATAGTTTATCAACCAAGGCGCGGTCATAAACCATGACCACGGTCAGAATTGCCATTGCCATAGTATCAATAATTAAAGTGCCAAGTCTGGCAGACAAATGACTGGCTTAGAAGTCTGATTTTACTATGTCAAGAAAAATCCCTTTTCCTCATTACATTTTTACCATTATAATTGGTTGTCGCATGGTTTGACTTCGCACTTGTCCAAGCATTTGAATACTTTGCGTAAAATCATGAGCACTGCTGGCACTTCACCCTCCTCCAAATTGCTTTGTCTAAGTCTAACAAGGCTTTGGAGACTCCCCAAAGTAAGCTTTGATGAGGGGTAGGCAGTTTTGCCTTGACCTCTTTCCTGTCCGCGAATGATGATGCCTGCCTTTGGCTTCGTGTCCATTCGGCTGCGGTAGTGGCAGTTTAAAGTACACCACAGTCAACAACTTTTTTGATTTCTCCATCTAATCTCTGAACTTTAAGGTGAAGAATGATCTGTGATGGTCCCACCACCCAAAATGACGTCCCATGGGCTTTGCCGTTGCCAACTGGAACGCCTTTGGTAAACTTCGTCGCATAGGGTTAAAGATAAGTGAACAGGCGACATCTTCGCCTCCTTACTTGCTGTATAGAACAAA